CGATACTCCGGCGGAAGAGTGCTCCCCCGCCGCCCCCGTGGGTCACCCCGAGTGACCTCGCAGCCCACGCCGTGAGGCGCTGCTGTCAGGGGAATGTTGGGGGCGCGCAAAGCCGCTCGGAAGAGACGGCCAGGAGCCAAGGAGCGGCCGGAGCGCGGCGAAAGACCGAGGGGAAGTGGCCGCCGCATACAGCCTCCGGCGGGCCTCCGGCGGACGCCTGCGGCGTGGCGCTGCGCGCGACCGGCCCCTTCTCGGTGCGCTGCAGGACGCCCTCGCTCAAACGCGCACCTGCCGGGTCGGGGCGGTCACGGGACCGGCTTAAATTGCGGCCGCAGCTGCTTGGGGGGGTGAGGATGGCCGGGCTTGAACGGCTTCTCGCGAGGTACTCGCGTCCTGACGCAGCAGCGATTTCGCGGGCTCTAATTTTTCGCGGCCTTCGCCGAGCGCAGGCGCTGGGTGAGGAACCAGAGGGAAATATCTTTCTCGGGTCCGAGGGCCGCCTCAACTGGAGTAGGGAAATTTGGATTTTGGTCAAACGCCTGCTGGGGGCAGCTTCGCGGAAGTATTCCGGAAGCCAGATGATCCCCCAGCAGGCACACACACACGGAGGTGACAGGGGATGGTGGTGGGTTCAAGCAAAGAAGGGGAGGGAGAGAGCGACGCGGCGAGCGCAGGCGGCGAGCGTGCACGTCGCCTGTGCGGCGTCTTGTTCACTCCCCTTTGAGCTACCTTTGTGCCCCCTTAGGGGCACCCCTCCTGCGCTGCGCGTATGGTCACCCCTCCCTTCCGCCCTGTTGTTTTGGATGCCCCGCTCCGAGAAAGCATGTCTCGCAGCTGCGAGAAAAGACCTTCTCGGGTCCGAGGGCCGCCTCAACTGGAGTAGGGAAATTTGGATTTTGGTCAAACGCCTGCTGGGGGCAGCTTCGCGGAAGTATTCCGGAAGCCAGATGATCCCACTTGTCAACAGCAGGCGCCAGCGCCAATCAAATCTCCCTAGTGATGTTGACAACGGGCAAGTCGAGATGGGCAATCTGACCATGAGTCGTTCATCAGGGGATGAACTCCACGTAGTAGTTAATGGATTCCGATCGGCCAACCGTCTCGCGACAGAGCCACCGAAGAACAGTGGGAGGGCTTTACCGACCCGACTCGGCTAAGCCGTCGGTGCCCGCCGCCCCCGCACGCCCATAGGACGACGATGACGACAGCAGGAGCTCGGCGCGAGCCGATTTAACTCCCGCCCCATTGTTGTAAGGTGCGTATGGCTCGGAACGTGAAGCGATGTAGTAGCTCGAATTGGCGTGAACACCGGCTTGCTGCGCGGCGGGTCAACCCCATTATGCGCAGTCATCCGGAATTCACCCAATCGTTGAGCTGAGTTGCCCCGAGGACGGTAGGATGCCGTGTCAAGGCCCAGCTGGGCGCTAGGCGCCCTGCCGCACTGGCGCAGGGCGCGACGGCAGTGGCGGCGGTTTGTGCTGACGGCGGCAGCGTTTCGAAGCGGGAGCGACGGGCCACTGTCAGGACAAATCGTCGGGCGCCAGGCAAAATGCGGGCGCGCTGCCGCCGCGGCGCGAACGAGCCCGAGCGAGGCGCGCGCCAGCGCCGCTCGCCGAGCCGCCGTCGGCGGTAGCGGACCGCGCCAGAGACTGGCCGGCGAGCGAGCGCGGTCGACGAAGAGGTGAAGCGCTTGCGACAGCAGGATGAACTGGCGGGCCAGATCGTCGGGCGCCAGGCAATGCGGGCGCGCTGCCGCCGCGGCGCAGACGTCGGCGGCGAGGAGCTCGAGCGCCCCCAGCGTGTTAGCGAAGCGAAGCCAGCGTGCCATGGTTGCCGACGGCTCACCTATAGGTGTATATTACAGAGCCATCACCGAGGCTGGCTGGAATTTTAGAGCCATCACCTTGGGCTGGTCCGGTATTTGGGAGCCGGAGTCGTCACCCAGGTAGGAGCTCCGATGGAAGGTATTTTAAGGACAGTCACCCAGTCCGATGGAAGGTAGTTTATCGCCGTCACCCAGGCGCAGGATGCTTTACGCCGCATTCCCGGCGACCTTCCATGTGGGCCAGCTCCGTGGGCCAGCTCCGTGGGCCAGCCTCCGTGGGCCAGCTCCGTGGGCCAGCTCCGTGGGCCAGCTCCGGAAGGTAACCGTCTGCCCAAGGCGGTGCCTCTCTGCGTCCGTCGCGTTCGGCGCCGGTGCCACAGCCGCCGCCGGCCTCGCCGCAGACGCCGCGGCGCTGGCTCGGCGAGGCGCCCCGCGCTGCGCATGAGCAGCATCCCCCGCCAGCGCGGCCGCGGCGGCGAGGCCCCCCACCGGGAGGAGATCGGGCTCTTTCACCTCCAGCGCCGCTGGCGACACATCGAGGCGGTCGATCGCCAGCTGTAGTGCAGCCGAAGAGGAGAAGGGGGCCGCGTCGAGGAGCCCGCACGTGAGCAGCTCGTTCAGGAAGCGAACCCACGCGGTTCCGGTGAGAGCGAGGTCCAGCGGGCAGACCATCGGGGCGGGAGTACCGGCGGGGGGCGCCGCGAGGCGCAGCCGCCGGCCAAAGACGCGCAGCATCGCGTGGTGCGCAAGCTGCACGCGCGCTGCTCCGCTCGGCGCAGCCGCAACCGGCCCCCAGCGGAGGACGGCAGTAGCCACCACCAGCGGGTGGGCAGCGGGGCCCTGGACGGGGGCGTCGGGCCCCGCGTGAACGCAGTGCAGATCAATCGGCGGTACTGCCGCGGCCATCGCGCCCGACAGGGGCCGAGCGCGGCTCGCAGAAGCTCTCTTTATTCCCTAGTTCAAGCAAAGAAGGGGAGGGAGAGAGCGACGCGGCGAGCGCAGGCGGCGAGCGTGCACGTCGCCTGTGCGGCGTCTTGTTCACTCCCTTAGGGGCACCCCTCCTGCGCTGCGCGTATGGTCACCCCTCCCTTCCGCCCTGTTGTTTTGGATGCCCCGCTCCGAGAAAGCATGTCTCGCAGCTGCGAGAAAAGCGCCTTCTCCCCAGATTCTCCGCGGCCGCCCGTCACAGCTCACTTGAGTGCGCCCTTGTGCGTTGTGGGCCTTGCGGCGGGGCGCTGTGTGGGGTGTGGCGTGTGGGGGGTGTGAGGCGCGGGGCCGAAAATGAAAGTTCTGCCACGTGCGCGACCTGATCTTAGACCCCCCCCCCTTCTCCCTCTCAGCTCTCCCTCCCTCTGTCTCCCTCTCCCTCGCTCGCACCCTCTCCTCAGTCCTCTGCCTGTCTCCCTCCTCCTCCTCCGCCACCTCAGTGCACCTCGCCCATGTGGTTGGGGCGGGGGCCCTTGCGGCCGTCCTTGTGCTTCCACAGCCGCTCACCCTGCGGCGGCACGGTGGGGGGGGGGGGAAAAAGGGAAGAAGGGAAGGTCCCGAAGGTACGGTGGTAAGGTGGGGAGCAGGGGAAGACGTCATGGTGCGGAAAAGGAAACCAGGGGAGGGTGGACCCACCCCAAAGGGGGGGGGGGGGGGCTGGAAAGACTCCTGTGTTCAAACCCCCCTTTTT